CATCTGGAGTATTGTGTCCAGTTCTGGGCTCCACAGTAGAAGAGGGATGTAGAGTTGCTGGGGATGCAGGGCTACAAGGATGATCAGGGGTCTGGAACATCTGCCCTATGAGGAAAGACTGAGGGAGCTGGGCCTGTTCAGCCTGGAGAAGAGAAGGCTGAGAGGGGACCTGAGCAGTGTCTATACGTACCTCAAGGGAGGCAGTGAGGAGGATGGTGCTGGCCTCTTTTCCCTGGTGGCCACTGACAGAACTAGAGGTAATGGCCAGAAACTGAAGCATCAAAAGTTCCACAGAAACTTAAGGAAAAATTTCTTAACAGTGAGGGTGACAGAGCACTGGAACAGGCTGCCCAGAGAGGTTGTGGAGTCTCCTTCTCTGGAGATCTTCCAAACCTGCTTGGACGCAGTCCTGTGCCACGTGCGTGTGCAGGGGGGTTGGACTAAATGATCTCCAGAGGTCCCTTCCAACCTTAAGCATTCTATGATTCTATGATTCTATGTCTTGCAATGTCTGAGATATCCACCAACTGTTGAAAGATGATTTGCAAGACCTAGGAGACTTTTGTGACTTTCTGGATTAGTTTTTGTTGGCCAGATGAGATATTTCAGGGAGTTTCAGATGGCACTAGACATCTGTCCAGCCTCAGTTAGCCTAAATAATTAAGTAAACTAATTGATCCTTTTATCTCCATTGAATAAACACCTATGCAAGTTCGTATGCAGATGTAGACATCTAAATTTATGTCCCTGAATCTGGATGGCTGGAAAAAAAAAAAAAAAAAAAAAAGGAGAGTATCTTCCAGTGAGACTTATCCTTTAAGATACCTAAATTTAATGTGTCATTCAGATAAGGTAAGTGTGCAAGATCTTATCGTAGTCACTTGAGGTTCCGGCCTTTCCAACTGTCAAAGAAATGTATTCCAGTGGCGTATATTCTGTGGTATCTTTCCTGGGCTCCATGGGGTGGTACAGATGAACACAGATCTTCTGCATGTCTTCTTTTGTACCTGTAGTTCCACACAGATCTCACAGAGGCACCATGGCATCCAGGTAGTATTAAATGTCTAATATGAGATAATTGAATATGGAATCTTGTCATTACAGCCATAAACTGCTAAGTTGAAGAGATTGTACCAGTTTCTAGAATTTGGCAGCTGTAGGCCATAGCAATCATGTTCAATTTTGTGTTAATACTTTTCAACTCATTTAAATAACATTTATTAGGCTGTAGAAGACAGTTGTAAAAAGAATCTTGAACAGGCTTATGCAGACTTCAGCAAAGGAAAAGCAAAGAACCTTTGTGAATACTGCCCAACAGCAGTAGTTTCAGCTTCAAACACTACTTCACAATACAAGAAATGGAAATTTCTTTATGCCACTTGGAGTTAAATTGCTTCTTCTCAGCAGCTTCTATGCATCAAAGTATAACAGTTGCAGCTGAGACAGAGAGCATTCCTAAACCGTTATGAATTGAGGTTTTCTTGCCTTTGCAAGGTCCTGTCCTCCTCTTCATTACAAGTAGCTGTTTATCAAACTGAAGAGGTCGTTGGCCATGCTTTGTTTTCATGTTGTCTGTTCTGGAGGTTCAGTGAAACAGTAATAACAGTATTGTGCCATGTAACTGAACAGGCTAGAAAATGAAATATAGTTAAAGTTTATACCTGGAATAAGGCAGAATTTCACAGACTCTTCAGTATGTTTAGCCTACAAATAGTGGGCTGATTAATGGAGGAAGTGTTGTTCAGTGAGTTTGAAGAAAAACCCAAGAGAGATGCACACATACAAAAAGATGCGGGTTAAGAATCAATCAAAATTTATGAGATTTCATTCTCAACCTGGAAAGAGAAAATTTCTGTGGAAAAATCAATAAGGACTTTTATTCAGGGGAACAAACCGTATATCATGTAGTGCCACTAGATTATAAAATAGCGTATTTCATTTGAGCTATTTTGAAATTCTCACTTTTAATAAAGAGGTCATTTTTAACAATCAATATCAAGCAGCCTCTGCATTGTACAATTTCAATTAACAAATATGTTTGTATTTTTTGCTATATTCTCCTGATTTGGATGAAAGATGAGGATAAAGACCAGTAAACCTCATTAGTCTAATGATGCCAGTTTAGACAATTTGATGATGACATAGATTTATAGCCGTAAATATATGGCACTCAGAATGCCATTTCATTCAGGATGGAATCCACGATCCCATCTTCCATCAAATGCTTCACCAAACCTACCTCTGGCGTGCAACATGTAAGAATTCAGCAAGTTATTAACGGCTAAACAAGAGCCTTTTCCTGATAGACTCCCGTTACTCATAAAGTTTGAAAATAAGTCATTAGTTCCTTATACTTATGTTTGAGTTTAATTTTATAGATGCATTTCACTGCTTTTCTTTCCCTTTTATTTCCCTTCCCTTCCCTTCAGATTTCTCTGAAACCAAGGCATTATTGAATTATTTGTTGAGCAAAATAAGAGTTTGACTGATTTTCTCTGGATGTTAATATTTCTACACAAGTATTAAAAATATATTTTTCTGATTAGATAAAATTTTCCTATTGTAAAATAAGCATATCAAAATGTTGAAAAACCTGGGTAACACTCTTCTGATAACCACTGTGGTTCAGATGATTTAATATAAGTATCCTAACTTGAAAATCTTTACTACGTTGCTACTGAAATCTCGATTTCTTTTGGTAATAATGCTGGGTTCTTTCACTTATGCACCGTAGCTGTGACTGTCTGAGTGGATGGAAAGGGGCATTTTGCACAGAGACGATGTCGATATGTGATCCGGAGCACAACCCCCCGCATCTGTGTAAACAGGGTGGCACGTGTGTGCCCCTGCCAAATGGCTACACATGTCACTGTCCTCTTGGAACAACAGGCAGCTACTGTGAACAAGGTATGGGAAAGCTGTGAAATCTTTTTATTAGTAACTGTTTTTTTCCTCAAAAGGCTCTAGGGCATTTCTTCTTTGAGAGGTTCTATAAATTAATATTCAACAATGTGAATACACAAGTGCTAGAAGCCCTCAAGTGCAGGGACTTTTCCTGTAAGTGTGTGCAAGGCTGCACTCATCCTCTGTTTTGCTACTCTGTAGCTTCAAGATAATGTTGTACAAGCTCATGTTTTTCGTTATGGAAACTCCCTTTACAGCTTTTAAAGAACTCCAGTTGCTGCTAAATAACCACCTTTCAAACCGCTTGCCAATGTTCGACCTCCCTTGTTGTGCCTACAGAGAGAGTTTCAAGCAGAGAACTGACAAGCTGAACTGCTTTTGACCTGATTTGCTGTCCTTTTATATGATTTTTTTAACTTTAAATTCTCTTCTCAAGTGAGGTTTTAAAATGTTAATGCTCTCTGGATTCAGGACACTGATGAACAGAACATGTGCTGTACATTCTGGTAAAATTCTGTTAAAAACACATGTGTTCTAGATGCAGAATACATTTGAATTTTTGGACACTATTGAAAGTACAAATCACTTATATCTGAGCCACAGAAAACTGGATCTTGTAAATTGTCATCCTCTTAGTAATTCCTCCACCTGGCAAACACATTAGAAAGGTTCCTCTCTGTTTCATTTAAAAGCTTTCTTTTTAAGAATAGGGACTATGGATCTTAGCCAAACTCTTTGCCCTGCATTTCACCTTACTCTGTCAGAGTAATGAATTATCATGAGATTTTTCCGAGTGCAGTTTGCACTTTTAGTGGATGGCAAATTGCTAAAAAACAGCTGCTTATCAAGATTGAATATCTCATCTCTGGATTGATGGTGGTTATTGGATCAAAAAGAAAAAGAGACAGAGAGCAATGAATGGCTCAAGGGACCAGGAGAGAACAAAGGGAAATTAAATGATGGAGACTAATGAACGCACAAAAAAAGAAAGAAGGGAGAGAAAAGAACAGAAGAGACTGATGAGGCAAAAAGAGACAGCAGAGGAGAATAAGAAAGAGTAAGGACAAATAGGGCTTTATGAAATTATAGGGACTGGTAAATACTGGACAGTACTACAGATTGCACCTGCAAGTGTCGGCAAAGTGAACAAACGAAGTGATGGAACTATAATGACAACAATAAGCAACATACCTTGCTGACCCTGGTCACAAATGCTAGAGGCGATTAAACATGGACTGACTGAAATCAAGCAGTAACTTGTCTAACAAACATTAAGAATGTCTGTAGTTCTTCATGAGTTATGTACATGAGAGAGGTGAAGGAGTGTGTTCAAGTCATAATGTAACTATTTTCAATGTGTGGGTGATCTGTCCTGCTCAGAGCAGCAGTTGGAACCATCAAGCATCAAAAGATTCCCCAGGCAGCACAGAGACTTGGTACATCATGGATAAACTTTAGAAGCGGGGAGGCTGTTCAACAAGTGTTCAATGATTGAAAAAATAAATTAGAAGTAGAATAAATCCAGGGTGAGCAAAATTGATTATAGAATATGCTTTTATTTGATAGATAAAATACACAGATTAGATTGGATTTGATGTCCTCATTTGGTCCAGCTCAGTATTTGTTAACAAAGTGAAAATATTGACAATTGCCTCAGTGTATTGCAATAAGAAGTATATTAAATCATACATTTTTTTAAAAATGAAAAGAATTCCACCCAAATCAGCCAGGACTCAATGAGGCCAATGTTTTAATTTGAATCAGTTAGTAACCTTTACTTCCACTCAACACCTGAGCTAGGTGGGCAGTGCAAATGACAGGCAAGGCCCTAAAGGACTAGCCTGTCCTAATCAGATTACTTTGTGCCTGCTGCTGCTTGAGAACTGTCCTCATAACAGATCTTATTTGAGATACGTATAAGGTAGTCTGTGACTCTTGTAGAGAGTAACCAGTTTCATTTGCAATTCCTATAAGCTCCACACAAGCAATTAATTTTCAGCAAGGTACTTTTTTGTGTGGCACACTCAATGTTAGTTCTCAGCCCTTCCCCACAAAAATTAGGAATATGGAAGTAGTGAATGATCTTCAAAGCAGGTATGTTTTTGAGGACACAGAAAGGAAATATTATATTAATAAGATATTTTGTTCAGTTTACTTTATGTTTGCAATTGAACTACCAGACAACTCTAAAATGTCTTCATCTTAGGAAAAGAAACTGTAAACTTCATCCCAGAGCCACAGTTAGGCTGCTTATTTGATCAATACTGCATACAAACCAGCAAAAGACTCCAGCTCCCAGCACTTCAGCTAATGGTAGGGGAATCTGCTGCATGACTTCAAACACTGGTTTACACCATTTGGCCCAGTGAGTAACTCTGTAATTAGAAATCTCAAATGGTTTCTGAAAAGGAAAAAAACCTTCAGGATGTGATTTTTTGAGCTGTCTTGCATGTATTCAGTAAATCTGTCGGGTTCAGTGTGATATACTAAGAGCCGGTTGCTGCAGACAGCAAGTTTGATTATTATATATGCAATCACAATATCTTCTACATAGCTAATAATTAGGAGTTTTTAATTTAAAAATCATAAATTTTAAATAACATAGAGTAGATAACAGATTATAATTAGATATGTTACAATGAATGTATGCATTCATATCCTAATAAATTACAATTAAATTGTATCTGTGCAGCTTATTCCTCTATAAAAACAGTGTTCCTGAGCGAGACCCTGTCTTCAGCACTGATTCTTAGTGAATGTTTAGGGAATAGTTTACGAACACTGCAACTATATATAACATTTGCTTGCACTACTCTCCTAGCATCTAACTACTTGTGCCTCACCTTACATTCTTCTTCATTTTCTTGTCACTTGTTTTAATGTAGCAAATCAAGTATTTCTTCTTGGCATAAATAGTATCACTTAAAGCTCTAGTGTACCTTAACGAAAATAAATTCAAGCTTGAGGTAGTTCCTCTGACTTTGAGGTATGTTGAGGTATCCATCTACGTAAGAGAAAATTCCTCTAGATATTAAGCATATTAAATTTATGTTCTAGATAATTTACTCGTTTTTGTAGATGAGTTAAGAAGACCTATAATTTCAGAGGAGTTAATTAGGAGATTTCTGAACAATCTTGGTAAGAGTGAAAGAGTGCTCCCTTTCAAAGAGGCGATGTAATTTATAAAAGACTCCGTAGGTGGCAGTATTGGAGAAGCATTGCCAGTGGCCAGTTTTCATCAAAAAATGTGTGTACCTTTTAAACCAGATTATTAAACAGTTTTCTTCTTTAGCAGGGAAGTTTCGGAGTCTGTGCTAATCAGATACTGATCAACGGATTTATAGAGGACCCTAATTTTGCCATGTGCTTTGTGTTTTAAAAAGACTTATAGAAACAGTTTGCCATTTTAGAACTCAAAGTGATTAACTTCTGCCACATGTGGTCACAAAACTTATTAAAATAGTTTTTCTTAACTTCAAGGCAACAAAATCATGCTGCTGCTTTTTTGACAAAGAAGTTAATATATAATTTCTTCAACTATAGTTCAAACTCTCAGCTCCAACTATTGTCTGTCTCTACAGCTCTTGAAGAAAGTAATATAAAAGATTGTTCAATCCATAATTTTATATAATGACCTACTCGCCAAGCAGTAAAATAATCTCCTTAATGAAAAAAATAATACAGCTGAAGTCAAATTCCATTATCCTGATACCAAAATACAGCAAAATTTTACACTTACTTGAAAACCTAACAGTTAAATATGTAAAAACAGTTTTAACTGATTTGTCCATCTTCAGAATTGTCATGAGTGAAAAATTGAAGAAAATTATTTTTAAATGATGATTTGTATGATTTTTCCTAGTACATAATATAGAATATTACTTATTATTGTTTTTACTGTTACTATAAAATCATTTTATTCATAGTATGGTTAATTTCAAGCTTTTATCCTGATTATATAGCAACAGTCCAGCCTGCATGTGTGTGTGATATATTGGCTTATCTTACAATGTCATTGGACCTACAAGCTCTATGTGTAGACTGTTTTGTAGTTATTATTTGGAGAGTTGCCTTCCTGTGTGTAACCATTTAAAATGCAGCATCAGACGCTGACTTGCTTGTCCTGTGTTTCAGTGACTATTGTATTCTCTAAGCAAGTTATGCAACATATTGCTTTCTGTTTCCACTCAAATTTTTGAAACTTTGTGGCAACATGCCAAGAAAATCTTTAAATGATTTCTATAACAGTCATGCCTTATAAGGATAAAATGCACTTTTAAAATTTTAGGTCAAAAAAAAAAATCTCAGCTTCCAAATTAATCATTAGTACTTCAATAAAGTCAATATTTGGGGTAGATATGAGAACACATACATTTGTATAATTTCAAACGTTAAGTGGAGTGATTGTCGGGTTAAATATAGGTCACAAATCACTTGTATATGAACTCCAGAGGAAGTCATGCACGGCAAAAAGAAGCAATTGACATGCAGTAGAACAGTAATGCCCTCCACACCAGGTCAGCCGGGAGTGATGTGGTGTCCCAGCAGAAATGTAATAATCGCCCTTACCATTCCGTCCCAAACTAATAAGAACAAGATACACCCGGCTAACAAATCCTTAGCAAGATGGCTCTGGAATTATTTTCAGGCTTCCTATACAGGAATGAATGATTCAAGGATAAAAGGGACTTCTGGGAAAAACATAATTTCTGTAATACAGAATATATTAGTTACTGAATTCACATGTAGACATGCAAATCTAGGTGTTTTGCTTCTAAAAATAATTCCTGCCCTTTCTACACATCTTAACTCTGGACATCTTCATGAAATTTGGTGACTAGGATATTTGCAGCAACAGAACAAGTAGGTTTTACATGTAGTAATTATATAAATAAAATAAGTTTCCATTGTAGATAATGAACATTTAGTCAATAGAATTAGTGGAGCTATTTAGCTGACTAGATACTTTTCTAAATATAGATAACTAGTGCTGTTTGCAATGC